AAGAAAAGACGGCCAATCTCGCTAATGCCAGACAATCTCCAGACGGGCGTGGGAACGGATTGGAGTCGATCGTCGTTCCTTATTATCTAGTCATCCTTCGCGGGCACTCGACGTACGTCTCGGCAATCGTACGTTTTAATGAAGTCCGAGGGACTCAAGATTCCGTTGGTATGCACTCTCCTCGGGAATCTTGCCTTTCCCATCGGGCTTCAGGCACGATTAGACGTGTACGCACGAAATCTTCTGGTAACAGCGTGAATAACCTTAACGCGACTTGTGTCAGAAAAATGTATTCTGATTAGAAAACAAGCATCGTCCATCCACGGTTTAGTCGCGAGACAACGATGTGAGTACGTTTTATCTGCATTCTGAAAAATATCACTCTTTTAATACCAGCAATTACTCAATTTACTTTCCTTCTTTTAAGACTCTTGAGTACTTGTCGCGGCCATCATGACTGATGACAGTATTTTGATTGATGACGTCAGAAACAAGGAAATGCATGCTCAAAATTCTTGCAAAGTATGTTTAAATAATAAGATACATCCAAGATATGACACTTGAAGCAAACCTCTAAAATATTCCGAACATTTTCCTTTTGCTCCAACAACGAATAAATAACCGTAAAATTAACGTGACATACAATCTTTTTTTAATCTGTCTTTTCTTATCATTTTACGTCACGTTAATTTCATGGTTATTTATTGATTGTTAAAGCGAAAAGAAAGCATTCTGAGTATTTAGAGACGTACTTAATTGATTATTATGTTTTGGGTATATCTTTTTATTACGATGCACTTTGTAAGAATCTTGAACATACGTTTCCTTGCTTCTGATGTCACCAATCAAAATGGCGAATACCCAGAAGTGTTAAGTAATAGTTATTTTCAATCAAGAATTGTTTTTGTATAATTGTCTTAAAATATATATATGTTACAAATTTTATAAATTATATACTCTGAAGAAAAATTTATTCTGTTTACAAGAATATTAAAAAACTTTGTTATTGAACTTTAATATGTGTTCTGGTGCAAGAATATTAAAGTTCAAGAAGAACACCTTCTGGTTACAAGAATATTAAAAAACTTTGTCGAGGAAAAAGTTAGTTTGATTCTATGTAATAAACAAACCGAATTTTTTTTTTTTAATTTAATATTCTTCATTGAAACATTAAACTTATTAGAATTCAAAATATATTTTTAAGAAATTTGATGCTCATGATGAACTCATAAATAGATTTGCGGATATATAAACTTGTGAAATATTTGAAAGTATACTTGAAATATTTGGAAGGGACATTTACTCGAAAGCAGTACGCACTTTTCTATGTGTGGGTACGCGTTTCAGTGCGATATCCCCCGAACATCGGAAAGAAATAAACGGTAGATGTAGAAAGTGACGGACGCTCTACTGTTGTGGCAGAATCCAATTTGTTAGGGAACTCGCAGAAAACGAGACAATTGTGAGAGAATCCAATTTGTTAAAAGGAGATCATAGAAACGTCTTCTTATTCATCCTCGATGACTAAGTCGTGAGGCGCGTTGTTTCGCTACACGCGAAGTTATCAACAATCGTGCCTCTGGCTGGATGTTAGCTACAAAAGGCCGTTTCTTCTCCGACGATTACTCGACGAGCCTTGGAATCGAGGGAGCCTTGCCGAAGAAGGCAATCCCGCGGTGATTGTCGATTACCGATTTGGTAACAGCACCACCACCACCACCACCACCACCATCACCGCGAGAAGCGTTTATAACGACTCCTTCCGTACTGCATGCAGCCACCTGCGACTAATTGCGAGCGCGGCGATCACGTACTAACGGCACGTCGGGGATGACGTTCCCCTAGCTGCGACCCTTTCGCGAGGGGCAAAACTTTCACGGCGCGCTACATTCTTCGGGCATTATCCCGTTTCGATCGATTTGTTCGGTTAATTTAACACGGTGAAACTACTCACGCCGCACCGCCGTCGCCTCCGGTGTTCCTCTTCGCTACCCGCCGATTTCGAAGTCATCGACCAACGCCGCCTGGCACTGCCGATGGCACGAGGCAAATTAATATCGAGCGATATCTGCAATGGATCGTGAAGAATCGCGACATTTAAGGTGTTGTGGAACAATGCTCCTTTGGCTTAGCTAGTTGCATCGGTGAAGCTCTTTAACTTACGCATTAATTTATTGGGAGAACTAGGCCTCTTGACTGTGCTTCGATCGACGTTTTCGTCCGACGCCTACGCTTTCTACGGCCACTTGTATATAGTGGTAAGAGCATTCGTGTGAGAATAAGTTAACACGTTGAAGATTAATCATATTACTTCCGCATGTTATAAAACTAAATTAATATTATATATATATGTATTACCATTCAGCTATATACATTAAATAGATAGCCAAGAAGGGGACTTGGTTTACATAAAAACAACTAAATCACACATTCCACACATCCTCCATTCTTCCATCCTTTTCCACTCTTCCATACTTTCCTATATCTACATCACATTAAATTCTCCTCTCTCTTTATTCTTTCCTTTACCCCTTTTCACTTTATCCTTTTTCTTTTTCTTTTCCTTTTAAAACTAAATTAATATTACTAATACTATGTCTCGGAAAAAATCAGTCCACAGAGTGAACTGCTTTAGCTGAACAAATCAAGTTTTATCCAATTCCTGCGCAGTGTAACTGCAGAACTGTGAAAATGCATTTAATCCTAGACAAAAACTGAACAGATATCTACATAAATTGTATATACTTTTGCTAAAACTCCCTTTTATCTAATTTCTATCTTATCGTGGCAATGAGTTTTCCTCAAATCTTTTGATATTTTGCAATATATTCGCAATAATCTACTATTTTCCAAATTCTCTGAATATTGAATCAAAACTTTAATGACTCATCGTAGCTACCATATCATTGAAGAAAAATGTATTATTTCATTAAAAAATGTATTATTTCATTAAAATTAACGTTATGAACGCATGATGCCATTATGTAAGCAGATCTCTGAATAATCCGTGAATTATATCTCGTCGTATACATGCCCCGATCGATACAATGTCCGTGACGTTTTAGGGTTTCATAACTTGACCCAGAAAGAGCCGTATCACTGCATAGTCTATAGAGTTGCCCAGCAAGTTAAATGGAGTCGTTGCACCTTCCCTTCGGAGCCTACTTCGACGACGACCATTGTAGAAGGACAGTGAAACTCCTCCGTGCATTGTAACTACTATATCAATGAAGAAAAATGTATTGTTTCAATAAAATTAGCGTTATGAACGCGTGATGAACGCCATTGTGTAAGCAGATCTTTGAATAATCCGCGAATTAGACCTCGTCGTATACATGCCCCGATCGATACAATGTCCGTGACGTTTTAGGGTTTCATAACTTGACCCAGAAAGAGCCGTATCACTGCATAGTCTATAGAGTTGCCCAGCAAGTTAAATGGAGTCGTTGCACCTTCCCTTCGGAGCCTACTTCGACGACGACCATTGTAGAAGGACAGTGAAACTCCTCCGTGCGTTCGCGCGCGTCGATTACACCTTTCTCGGACGACACTCTATCTATCTAATCCACGGAATTTCCAGCGAAGCGTGAAAACCACGTCTCCTTTCGCGAGAAGGCGTGAGAATACCGGTGCGGAACGAGGTCGGAGGAAATTGGCGACAAAGGTCTCGGCGATGACGCGATACCTATCCGGACTTCGGCGATCGTCGAAACGGAGAAAGCTATACGCACAACGACCACCGGTACTTTGTGTTACCGTGACTCACCTCACATCTTTCTCTCTTTTCGTCTCTCTGTTTCTCATTATTGCGTGCCAACAATGACGCGGACTCCGAAATCTTCCGCTTATCAGACTCATTGAGTTTCACCTCGTCACCTCGACTGACTAGCACTTCAGCCCCGCGAGTTAATTGACCCTCGTAGATATGAATTGTACGCTCAGAATTATATGTTCTCCACATGACGTAAATTAAATCTCAGAACTTGTGCCTTTCGATAACACCTCAGATCTCTCAAGCTGATTTCGATGCTTTAGCATAGACTGAAGTACTCTTCCGCGTCACACATGATAGTACACACAGAAAAATACATACTACATTTCAGTAAATGCATTGAGAGAAATTAATAAATAAATATTATATTAAAATTATAATATTTATTTCACTATCCAAATAATAAATGTTAATTTCAAACTAATTTCACGATGCTACTTTGTCACGTTTCACTCAATAAAATATCACTCATAAAACAGTAGTTTCCTGACCTACAATCAACCATTACACAAAAATGAATGTAATGAATACTATTTTCTCTTCTGTGCCTCGTTTCCTGACACGTAACATTTATAACGGTAAGGTTTTTATTTGGATGGTATCACTTTTTACGAAGTTACATTGGAATAATGGTAATCTATGTTGCTTTTACCATGAGATTACATGTACAAAATTACGATATTCAGTATTAAATTTCTCACGAGCGGTGCAGACAAATGAAAGTTTAATTACGAATGTGTTTCACCGCGATAAATGTTGTGTTGAATTTTTCTATTATTTTTTAGCGTTTCGAGTGAGTAGACTCTTTAAAGGAAGAAAAGTAAACTGTCGCTTTTCTTAGCAGTAGAATAATGTTCTTCTGCATACACACCTGTCTCAGGCTTGGATTTTTCGCTCACGATGGCACAACGACTCCGCGCACCTTTGCACTCGCTCGTTAGAGAGAGGAAAAAATAGAAACGCACCAGCTGACCCACCCCTCGCCGTACAGTTACTCGTTTGTTCCTCGCGAAGAATTGCTGTCTCAGATGAATAAGTTCAGCAACGGCGCGGGTAACTACACGCATTATCTGCCGGGGAATCGAAACCGAGCACGGTAACGGTCTTGCATCTGTTACTGCGCGTGCTACAGTCTATGCTGCGTTAATGCTCCGGGGTCTCCCCGTCGCGTAAAAACGCCGTTTTGCGCCATTGCGTCGTAGTACCTCGTGGTGCTGTGCGTTTGGCTTGTTGATGTTGTTGGCGTAAGTCGCGATCTGAATGAAAATTTCCGCCGACTTTCGTGCTCATTTTGGGCCTAGCCGTTCTCAAGCCGAGCGCATTTCGTTCCATTGAATTTCCTTTCCATTGAAACGACGGAATAAGCAGGGAATATTCACTCGGGAAATAATCCAGCGTCGTTAAGAGCTTCCTTTTTAAACACCTCGAAAGCGTGCCGGTGCGAGATGCATCGGCTCGATCGACGTAAACCCAGAAGAGAAAGCGACGATTCTCGTAGTCCTATCGTGCCCAACCGGCTTCGTAGAATTATGAAAGCGTCGAAGATCCTTCTTCTTTCTTTTTTCTTTCTCTCTTTGTATGTACATGCTGAATGCGGCAACGTCATCTCTTTTTAATTATATACCACTACACGGGCAACCGCGGAGGAGACGACCGTGTAAGAATCCGGACCCAGCGACGACTTTTAGAAATCGATATCGACGTGAGCTGTTTACCTGAAGAGCGATACAAGTGAAATTCTTATTTGGACTTATGTAAATCGCGAACGCACGGCTCGCGAGAGATTGTCACTCACTGTGTCAGACAATCTGACAGACACCGTGCGACAATGAGATTGAACGTGGTGAAATTTTGAGAACTCGCCTTACGACATCTTGACGACAAATGAATCGTGTGCTAAGTGCGTAATCGTGGCATTTAGCACGAATGTTTACGACATCCTCGAGATAAACGTATAATTTGAGATATGTACAAAGTAAGTTGATAGATTCTAAAATATCTCTGTTGTTTTTAAAAGAAGGTGTGTGAGGAATAAATTATATAGTTGGAATGTTTTGTTGATCACAATATTCAGTTTATTTTTTACACATCTTCCTTTAATATAAAAAAAACAACAGAGATATTTTAGAATCTGATATTAGATGACTGCATAATTGTGACACACTTGGTACAAATTACATATAAACACTCACACACATATATATAATTTTAAATTATAATTTTAATTTTAAATAGTTATTGCATTATACATGACGATTTGAACCTTGCTTTTTAGGAAACATTTCTCTAACCGCATCAAGCAAATAGAACGTGAATGTCACTTCTCAAGTGAAAACGCATCAACATTTTTATGCAAATATCTATTTCTTTACCTTCTCTTATTACTTACGCAAATGTTTATACGTTAAAAATTAATGAAGTTTTTTTAACAGTCGCTGTTTGCTCTTTAATTAGCTAAGAAACGCAGCGATAAATAATGCAATCATTTAGAGTAACCTCTTTTCGAAAATACGACGGAATTTTTTGTTGCAGAAGTAGCAACAAGGATTTAGTGATGTCGGCGAGAGCATCTAATTAAGGAGAGAAAAACGGCCGCAGAACGGAGATTCTTCAATGTCGACGATAATAATAAGAATTCGTTTACGGCTTGACGGGATCAAGATGCTAGACGTGACGGTGACGAGGTTAATGAGGATTTTCAACTGGATTCGACTGGTAACAGGTAGACTTTGTACTCTAATTACTGGAGAAAGCATGCAATGCGAGAAACTCGACCTTTTCGCCGCCTTGACACCAAACATGTCATTTGAAACATTTCACGTACGCAAGCGTATAAATACATTCCTCCATTCGTATAGCGTCTCGTAATTATACAAACGTGATATTACCCCGCAGCCGATTCTCTCTGATATTTGTCAAATTTGTGGAGGTGATTTATTAGCGATGTGCTAGCTACTTCATCGGTAATAAGCACATTTGTCAAGCAGTACATTGTCAATCTAATATTTCTTGATGAAATCTGAAACGACTTGTCGAGCGTGTCTGTTACTGAATTACATACTCGACATGTTTGGCTTAACCGTCGTATTAAGTATTCGTTACCTCTTTGCGCCAACTGTCGCGTGCATCATTTCGGGAATCTACGTGATTTACGTTAAGTGGATCAAAAGAATCGTCATATCGAACATTCACATCTATGCGAAACGCGATTTCATCACTTTGGACTCAAGCCCACGGTGAAAGTGGAGTATAGAACGTTATTAGATGCAAAAAGAAAAAGAAAAGAGAAAAAAACGAGCGTGCATCACGATAGCTTCATTTGAATACATTGTCGTGGCACGAAGTAATACGTACTGGTCTACGCATGCTTGTTACAAGATATCACCGGTTAGTTAATAGCCATGAAAATTTCACAACGCACGCCGTTACGGAGGAAGACTCGATGCAACTACTAGGAGGATAGGTGGCTTGATTTAACGAAATCGAGGAAAACGATAATGGAGAACAGAAAGGAAGATACTTCGACACACAATGCGAAAACACGCACGATTGTGTGCGATGGATAATTAATTCTAAATATGGTGAAATCGTTGGAAACGATTCTCACGATATAATCCGTCGTGTGGTAACCGCAAGAAAAATTAAGGCAGGATACGACAAATGCTCTCTACAGTACAATCAGTGTATTTTTCATTGAAATGCTATATATATAACTGGCGGTTCAGTTATAAGTGTAGCATTGTAATATCAATAAAATCTTTCTTTCTTTTTAAGTTTATTATGTTTTTAATGGTCCACGAGAATAGAATTCTAGTTACATATATCTTGCTAAGAAACATAATAAATTTCGCTGGAAATATAGCAGATTTCTCTAGAAACATAGCAAGTGTTTTAATA